CCTGAGTGGCACAGGGCAGAGCTAAGAAGGGGCAGGAAATGGAGCTGAGAGAAAAAGAGGCAAATGACTGGTGATAAACCCCCACCTCAAGAAGGAAAAAGGGGAGGGATGAGTTTCCAGATGAAGCCCCAGGTCTGGATGACATCTTGACTGTGGCCCCATGAAAGACTCTGAAGCAGAGGACCAAGCAAGCCACACTCAGACTCAACCTCCAGACACTAGGAGATGAGAAACACACCTTGCTTTAAGTTGCTAATTTTGTGCTAATCTGCTACGAAGCAATAGATGACTAATACAGTGGGTACTTAACAACTTGGGGTGGGAGAAGCCCAGAAAAGCATCTTAGCACATGTTTGGAATAAAGAATAACGCTTCACTAGATAGCAAAGGGAGCGAGAATATTGCAGGTAGAGAGAATAGCAAATACAAGCTGCCTGGTATGTTCTGGGATCTACAAGCAGTTGAGTATTGCTAGATTGCAAAATGTAGAGTACACCCAGGGCAAGAGATGAAGCCATGAAGTCAGGAAAGCTAGACCGTGGTTCTCAGAGTGGAATTAGAATCAACCAAGAAGCTTTCAAAATACTGATGCCTGGTTTCCACCTCCAGAGATTCTATTGTAATAACTGTGGGTTGCTGTGTGGACACAGGGATTTTTAAAAATTCTCCAGGTGACAGAGGAGGGACTAGAGTGAAACAGATGAGGCACTTGCCTTGGGTACAGAATCTAAGGGGACACCAAAAAAACACAGCCATCAAGATAAATCATATTTGAATGCAATAGTTTAAAAAATAAAAATTAATGCAAAAACTCCACAAACAAAATATAAAAATTTTAAATAAAGGCAGAATCCTCAGGTGTTCTAACGGGCAGCCAGCATTTCTGAGAACCACTGTTCCAGATCCTGAAGGAACCTGTGTGCCTTCCCATAGATCTTGGGATTTGTACCGGGCAAAGGAACCAGGCAGGCTTGGGTCTCAAGCGTCAGGGAGACATGGTCAGATGTATGGTTTTGGAAAGTTCTTTTGACTGCTGGATGATATGTAAGTGGGGAATGAGGGGTAGGTGTGGTGGGCTTACAAGACAAACTAGCTGGAAAGAGACTGTATAAATGCTACTGGAAAGTGAATGTAAATTAAAATCACTCAGTAATAACAAGGAAGACGAGGTGTAGAAGAAAGAGGCAGCGGGGTGCTGGAGCTGGCTGAATTAGCTTGCAAGAACAGCTTGTGTCCATCTCTGCTCCAACTCCACGTTCAGTGATGTCATATTGGTAGTTTGAAATCAGCAGCGGTGAAGGTATTTACACCAAAGAAATTAGCAAACACTGCCAATCATAGGTGGTTGGGTTTAGTTTTGTTTTTCTTTTTCTTTTTCTTTTTTTTGGTAGAGTCAGTTGTTACACATTCACCAGTATGTTTGTCAGCAATCAAGAGGACTTGGTGATGAGTTAGACATGGAGGGTAGAGGGACAGAAGGACTAAAGTGACCCACAAGATGACTGCATGGAGCCAGCCACTCAATTGTGAACTCTAAGAAGAGGGAATTGGCCCAGGGTTAATTGTTAGCTGCAAAGGGCGGTATGCAGGGAGGTATCTGAGGTCGCCCTTAGTCTCGTAAGCTCAGCAGCCGCAAGGAATATTTCTATGGTGTCTTTTATTATAGTTCAAAGCAGTTCTGACGAGCCACAGGCCCTGAAAGATTTAGGGTATGCTAGAGGACACTGAGAGACAAGCTGACGAGGAAGAAATTCAAGCCTCCTTTCTCTCATCCTTTGGTCTGTGATTTTGTGTCTGGGGAGGAACCATGAGCATCACTCGTATAAAGCTGGTGTTCACTCGTGCACCATGGAAACAATCGCAGGATTAATATTATCTGGTTAACTAGGAATTAGGCTGGAAAAGACAAACAAACTTATTTACAAAACAGAAACGGACTCACAGACATAGAAAACAAATTTATGGTTACCAGGGCAGGAAGCGGGTAGGAAGGGATAAATTGGGAGTTCCGAGATTTGCAGATACTAACTAATATACATAAAGAGATAAACAACAAGTTCATACTATATAGCACAAGGAACTATATTTAATATCTTGTAGTAACTTATAGTGAAAAAGAATATGAAAATGAATATATGTATGTTTTTATATGACTAAAGTATTATGCTATACACCAGAAATTGACACAACATTGTAAACTGACTATACTTAAATTATATATATATATGTGTGTGTGTGTGTGTGTATGTATGTATATACATACATATATATATATATATATATATATATATATATAATAAGTAA